GTCGAAGGCGGCCTTGAACTCTAAAGGACAAACAAACAAACAAACAAACAAACAAACAAACAAACAAACAAACAAACAAACAAACAAACAAACAAACAAACAGCAGCTTAATAGAAAGATAGAAAGCAGCAAAGCTAAATTAAAACATTATCTCTTAAAGTTAAATGTTTTTTGTTTAAAACTTTTACACGGCTGTAAGAAAACCAAAATCTACACAAGTTTGTTCCATTTTATGACTTTTGTTTTTCTTCCAAAGTGACAGCAAACATCGGGTGTTTGTGTAAACTACACAGAGGAAGTTAGTCAGCTGAGAGTTTTAATAAAACTCATCCAGGAGATCAYCTGATATTTTGCTAACACAACATTCAACACAGMTAATTACAGTTCATTACTTGCTGTTTCATGGTTGTGAATTAAAAAAAACAGAGATTAAAACCCACCTGTGATCATCTCCTCAGTTAGGAAGGAGCGGGCGTCAGTTTGAGCGTCAGTGGGCTGAAAAAATAAATAAATAAAAAACAGAAATTAAAGAAAATTATAAAAAGCTAATAAACAGTTAATTAGAAGAAATGAGGATTGTTGGACATGAAGGGTTTCTAAAACTTATAAAAAGAAGAATATGTTTTTTTCGTATTTATCCTTTTTACAGAGAAAAATAAGAATAACATCATCTAAAAACCCTTAAATCTTTTAAAGACAAAATTAGGAGTGAGAYAGAAATTGTGTTTTGCTCCCGTGAGCCTGAACTAACTTTTTTTAATTCAAACCTGCAGTTTGCAACAATTCATTTACTTTTGCATTAAATTAGTTAAAACTCCTAACTGGCTGCAATTTGCTTTTGTATTTTCACAAATTTTTTAACAAAAAAGAAACCCTAAAGACTCAAATCRGTGCAACGTTAACTGGAATCTTTCACCAGCTGGTTGAAATGGTTCTTAAAGTGAAACACTGCTCAGATTTCTAACCTGAATAAAAAAGCTTTAGAGCTTTTATACAGAAGCTGATTTCAGTCCTCTTCAAACTGTAAAATAACGACCTTCTCTGACTAAGCACTAAAGGATGAATCATATTTATTTGTGTAATAAAATTCAGAGAAGTCCTCAAGCACTGTTTCAGTTTCGTTGGAGGAACCCTGAAGTGAATAAGCATGAAAATCTAACTTAGACTTGAAATTTAAACACTTTTATCCAGTTTACTCTCAGTTTACTTATTGTAGTTTGAAATAAACGTCTCAGTTTTCTTGACAGGAACTTCAAACGTTTACGACAAACAGAAGGTCACACAAACTCCCCTCTGAGTTTACTCTGAGGCTATATTTAAGGTGAGACTTGCGGGAGGATTTGGGAGGGATTTTCTCAAGGTGACCGTCCAAAATTAGAACAGTTGGAAAAAGACGGCGCGACTTGTCGCTTCACTCAGCTGCTAGCTTTCTGTCTTCTGCCTCCTTCCCTCCGGTCTGAATAACACTGATTGTAAAACGACAGAATTTGAAACAAAAGATGAACTGTGAAAGTGATCAACAGCAGATTAGCAGCCAGGAAAATGGTTTTCTATATGTAGCAATAACAAGAATATGAGTGAATCCAGTAAACTCCAGTTCTTTAGAAATCCAGTAGTTTTCCAGATAAAGCAGAACACYTCCTTCATGTTTTATCCATCTTCTCTCATCTTGTTTTGTTATCTTCTTCAGAAGAAAACAATGAAATCCTCAAGGATTCAGTAAAACCAAACTGTTGTCCTCTTGTCTTTGTTTGTCCCCCTCTCTCTTTGGATTCTTACCATGGTGGCTGGTTGTTCTGAGCAACTGTACAAAAAACAGTGAAGAAAGAAAGAAAGAAAGAAAGTCCTCCTCCTCTACACTTCAGGTGGCTCACTGACTTTGTCCACACTCCATAAGTACCCTTTCTTCTGAGCACAATTTCTCTACAATTGATCAGGATTGGGCCACAGACGAATCCTCGGATCAGAGCCGGCCAATCAAATCGGGCGTTGGTCCTCTGACAATCTCCTGATGGACGTCCCCTTGTGTGGCATCCTTGCCAGTCCCCCTTTTTTAGATAGCACACAAGCTCTCTGTCATTCATAAAAAAAAAAAAAAGAAAAGCCAGCACAGACATCAAGCAGCTGGAGGATATTTTGGCAACCGATCAACCAGACATCTCTGGTTGTGCAGAGGGATTCTTGGTTTCACAAGCTGTGCAAAAAYCAGCAAATGTCCATGATAGCACACACCAAACTTATAAATGCCAAGATTAACACCTCGCTGCATCAACTCCCCTCACAGCGTCTGTTAACTCATCCATCCACCAGCCTCTCCGTCCTCACTCCTGCTGAGTGCATGCATCTCCGACATCTGTAACACAAGATGAGTGCAAAAAGTCTCAAGCAACTGCTCTCTGCGTTGTACAATTACAAAAAAACAAACAAAAAAACTCAAGATGTGTAAAAATGCAAATGAAGTGAAATCATTTGCAAACTTCATAAACCCAACTCCAATACAATGAAAACAACATGTCAAATGTTGAAAGCAAGACTTGCGAACTTGAGAAAATGGTCATTAACAAGTCATTTTGAATTTRATGGCAACTTAAAAAAGTTGGGTCTCGAGTAAAAGACAGCTGTAAAAATAAATGAGAAACAGCTGGAGGAGCATTTTGCAACTAATTAGGATAATTAGCAACAAATCAAGAATTCTTAGAAGTAGAGAGGGGCTGATGTTCATGAGTCTGCAAAACTGTTCAAAYCTAGCAGAACAATTACAATAACATTCTCCACCTTCCCCTTCAAGCAGGGGCGGAGCTAAGCTTTTTGACAAGGGGTGGCCAAGGTGTTTTTTTAGAGGGCACAAAAAAACCCATATAGAATTCATTAAAAAAATTAAGCATCAACATTAAACCTGTAACTCTTTTATTCTTAAAAAAATCTAATATCCTTTGCTCTCTTGACCACATTGTTAGCAGGGCGGAGCTAGACATTTTTTTGCAAGGGGTGGCCAAGGATTTTTGTAGGAAGCACATACAAATAAAGAAAAGCTTCCTGGAACTGAAAACTCAAAATGGCAAGGTGGAATTTTGTGTGATCATAACTAAGAACAATAATAAAAAAAACATGCTAAATACTAGTCACAACTTATGATCCAAAGCTGAAGATTAGTGTAGAAGTAGCCAAAAACATTTTTTACCAAATGCTAAATGCCAATCCAAAATTCAAGATGGCCACCACAGTTAATTTTAAAATCTATTCAGCCATTTTAAGACTTACTGAGATTAAATTTACAGTGATGTATCCAAGGACGATCACACGATGCTAATCCTAAATCATTAATGCTAATTCTAATTATACAAAGGTCTGTAATTTAGCCATTTTTAAACACACGCAGCTAATAACTTTATATATGTATATATTAGAGAAAAAAATCCAAGTTCCCCACCAACTTGTCAGTTACTTGGAGGTGGCCAATCAGTTTCCAGAGAGGAAACTTCTGGCTCTGCAGAGATACACAATCCTTCCAGCGAGTTCTGGTTCTGTCCCGGGGTCTCTTACCAGTAGGACCTGCCTGGAAAACTTCCAAAGGGAGGCATTCAGGAGGCATTTTAATCAGTCAGAACCACTTCAACTGACGCCTTTCGATGTGAAAGAGCCCCCCGCCTTCCTTTAAGAAATCAGGAAAATCTTTCTTTTCCATAAAATGGTACATTTCCTTTAGCTTGTTTCATCCTCACTGAGTAGGCTTATGCTTCATACAGGAGTCATAAAGTTTGAACAACTCAACTCGATGTTTTCAGATCTCCTGCTTTAATACAGCAGGTATGTTGACGTATTTGCATGAGAGTTTGACCGTTTATCAAGCATTCACATTACATAACGCCCATTTTTCTTCTGTGGGTTTTTCAGCATCTTATTCCACAATGTTTGTTCTATTTCAACAATTTATTTATAAAAGACATTCAGGTCTTTCAGGACATTCTGATTACAACATTTGGTACTTCAGCAGTTTGTATGTTTTGAGTTATTTAGCTTTTTCTGACGTTTTTTCTCATTGAAAAAATGGAGGTGCTGTCCACATTCTTAAAACTCTTTAAGTACTAAATTTTTACAGTACGTTTTAACTTTATTTTTTTATTTTTAACTCCATTTCAGCTTCCTTTGGTTTTTATTTGGCTGCTTTTTGAGCCATTCTGCTATTCTTCAGTTAATTTAAAGTTTTTGTATATTTTTCAGCTGCTTTCTGCTAATTTCAGCTGTTTTCTGTGTTTTTAGCTAATTTGATTTGTCCCCCAACTATTTTCACCTTTTTGTGATAATTTCATCTTATACTGCTTATACTTATTCAGCAAACATGCTCTTTCTGTTCCTTTCTGCTAATTTCAGCTATTGTTTTTAACCTATTTGGTTTCAGCTTTTTTAGCAAAAATGTTTCAGCGTTAGGCATTCACACTGAATATTCGCCGGAATTGAAAATTCTCTAGTTTGAATTGTGTTTTTTATGTTTTATCATCATTTTAATTATCTATTTTGAATTATCTAGCTTTTTGAAACTTCCTGTTCAATTTCTATATGACTTGCTTGTGAATTATCACTCCACTCAAGCTCTTAAAAGCCTATTTGGAGGTTAAATAGAATGCACAGGAAGCTTGTGAAAGAAAGGTGCCATTACTCCTGACCAACAGGGGGCCATTATTCAATAAAAATGCTGCAAATTAAATGAACATAAAAGCTGAATTTAGTGGCTCAAGTTGTGAAAATGTAATGGAAGAAAGTGTTTCATTTATTGCAACTTGTCGGACCAGTTGTGTGAAACAAGAGAAGAAACAACAAACTGAAGTTTAAAGAAACTGTTTTGTTATCACGGTTTCTATTTTGAAWGTTTTGATCCTCCTCGTCTTATTTTTCGCTCTCCCCCTCCTCTCTGTTTTCTCCCAGGAGGCTACAGAGCRAGTTCAGTTTACAAATCATCCAGCTTATGTCACCTCATCCACCGAGAGGCTGTCTGACTGGCAGCACCAGCTGAAGTTCTGCCCAGCCCAAGATTTTCCACAAACACTCCTCTTCCAGTGGGAGGGGAGGGAAACAATGCCTGGTCAGGTTCAAGAGATCTGCTTGATTAAAGAAACACAAGGAGCAAACTGTTTTCCTTGTTGCTATCATTTTTCATTTTCTCTCTCCATATTTTCCCTCCTCTGTCACATTCTGTTCCTGGACACGCCCTCCAGGAGCAGCTGGGTCTTTAAGACCAACAGGGTCTATAAAAAGGCAGAATGCCACTCCTCCCCCATGTCAGACGGATGTCCCGTCATCTCTGCTCCTCTAATGTCTTCCTCTTTTGCTTTTCCCATTTCTAACTTTAAACTCCTCCTCAAACCAGGCGTGACACAAAAACATCAGCCTACCTGAGTATTGTTGCTGACCATGTCCATCCCTTTATGACCACAATGTTCCCAACATCTGATGGCTAC